ACTAACAGTAGTTCCTTAGATTAAAAAAAGAAATAAATCTGTAGTGTTATCAATAGAAAACTTGAACTGTGTCCCTGGGTTGGGAGAAAGGTGTGGGAGTGGAGGGGTCATGGGTGGTTAACAGGGTTTTCCAGTTTAATGGAGCCTTAAAGTGGAAACGAAACGTTCAACGAACCTAACTTCATTCAAGAGACTGTCTTACTGTTATTAATAATTATATCACAAAATATAAACGTTAAAGGAAAAAAAAAGCTTTGTCTTTTGATTTTATAATTTTAACCCATCCCGTTGGGGGGCCGCCATTGTGCGGCATTGCGTGGGGTTAAGGATCTTGCTCAGAGAGTGGGGGGCTCAAACTCAGAACCTCAGGATTCTAAGCTCTATGCCCTTACCACTAGGTCACCATTCCCCAAAGTGGGCTTTAGCGTGAAGGGTCTTGCCTGTAGGTTTTATGGTTGTTTTGTATTCCAGATATAATATCCAGTGAATTAAATTGCTTGCAGAAGCATTGACCAACCCGGTGACATCATCATTTTTCAGAATTTTTAATATAACTGTTGATAATAGTAAGACACAATCTCTTGAATAAAGTTAGTTTGGTTGAATGTTTCATTTCCACTTTAATGGGAGTGGGACGTGAGGTAAAGAAAAACTAGAAAACTAAAAACAGGACAAACATTTATCCAACCGATGACCGCGGTTCTCTATGCAGACAGAGTTCGCCCAACTCTTCAAAAAAGTGCAACGAATGTTGTTCACATCTACATACCTTACGACGGAGTATTAGGCCTGGGCTAGAAATCTTTTTTTCTACTTTGAGAATAAAGTCATAACATTAAAAGAATTAAGTAATAAATATACGAGAATAAAGTCGAAACGAGAATGGTCATAAAATTACGAAAATAAAGTTGTAAAATTGCGCGAATAAATTCATAAAATTGTGAGAATAAAGTTGTAACATTATGTGAATAAAGTAACAAAATTGTGAGCAGTATTCAAATTACGAGAATAAAATCGTAAAATTATGAGATAAAAAAGCAACATAACGAGAATAAAGTCGTAACATTGTGACAATAAAGTCGTAAAACTATGAGATTAAAGTTGTATTTTATGACAACTCTTACAAGAAGTACCATCTTGCCTAAAATGAGGAATGTGGAGCATCATGTGAAGTTATACTTTAGCATTGGTTTGACAAATCAGGAAATCTTTTAGCACCAGCATCAAACTGGGCAGGATGTCAAACTGGTTGCTGATTGGTGGAGCTTGTCGGAGCTTGAAGCTTTCTTTTTGAAACGGGTTATAGTATGACGACTTTATTCTCTTAGTATTACAACTTTATTCTCAAAATAAAAAAAAATAGAAAATCTCTAGCCTGGCCCTAATACTCCGTCATAATACCTACAGTATGAGAATACACACATTTTCCCCTTCATTATCAAACGGTAAAATTAAGGACATTTCTTTAGCCAGGGACAGGGGATCCAAAATGGGGACTGTTCCCAGAAATCAAGGACGTCTGGTCACCGTAATCAATACCAAGAAGATTCCAACCTGGAAGTTGGAACCTGGAACAGAATGGACAGCTCTGTTTGGGATATGACTGATGATCTGCTTTTCTCTGACCTGGTTACTGCTTTGATCATTACCAGAATGACAAATCAAGCTATAAATAAGGAAAAGCCCAGGAGAGTGTTGAGAGAGTTGCAGCTACCCGGTTCGATCCCCTAAGACTCCACTCTGGTGCAATGATAAAGACCCTCAACCCCTGATTGCTCCGCGGGCGCCACACAATGGCAGTCCAGTGCTCCACAAGGGGATGGGTCAAAATGCAGAGAACAGATTTCCCCATTGTGGGATAGTAAAGGGATTTACATTAATGCCACCAAGGTCCACAAAGATTTGAAAAAGTTTGTGTCAAACCACACTGGTTTTAAATCCGCAAAATAAACGGACACAAAGGTGCCCAACTGAGGCTATATCTAATGCGGCGCGCTGCGTAAAGGCATGTTAGGAAATATCTGACTTGAGAAATCTGAATATTGACCATATTGGGCTTTCAAGTTGACATATCTGAACTGTAATTCTGCAACTGCATTTCCTTCATATCTTCTCAACCTTAGATAAAAAAAAAAAGTTAAAATATTCTTGACTAAGGGGTTGTGCAATGGTACATGGGTTACCCATGTACAGAGGTCGTGGTACTTGATGCGGCCGCTGTAGGTACGAGATCTGCCGCTGCCTTGCATACTAATGACCTTACGCTATTTGATTAGCTCAACTTCGTGGTTCCCCAGAAAACGATAATAACAATCCAGAGTGCATGTGGCATGTCTGGAGCATCTGTAATGGCAGCTTGTCTAATGACCTATGACGTTTTACCTGATTGAAAACACAGTTAGTAACCGCAAGACCATGATCTAAAGGATGACAGCTGTGCTCAGTAGCTAACAGATTAGCGTATTTTAGCTCGGTCAGTTAGCCATATTTAGCTACACTACTTTTAACTTTGTGTCAACAACAACCGTTCGTTTCCTACAAGTCAAATATATGTTGCTTTCTTTGTCTAAAATCTCTGAATAAAAAGAAGCTCTTAGACTTTTTGTGTCACCTTGTTAAAAATGATTCTTCAAGACTGAGAATGATTGTTTACTACTTTTGGCTACTTTACATTGCCAATGAAACATAAAAATAAAAGCAAAAAAGGGGAATGATATGTTGAGACTCTGTTAGGTTAATTAGCTTCTCTAAATTCTCTTTAGGTGTGAGTGTGAATGGTTGTTTGTCCTGTTTGTCTCTGTGTTGCCCTGCGATGGACTAGAGACCTGTCCAGGGTGGACCCCGCCTCTCACCCATTGACAGCACCCCTCGTGACCCCATTTGGGATTAAGCGTGTTAGAAGACGGATGGATGGATGGATGTTGAGACTCTAGGAGGTCCGATTCCTAAGAAACGGCTATACAGCAACAGACATTCAAAATGGCCCTTCCCTGTGAAATACCAGCCGAATGGCAGCCCACTTCCCTACAACTCCCAACAAAATCCCCTCCATACTTTTTGTAGCCTGGGTGCCATTCCGAACTTAGTCCCGCCCACAAGGTTTGAGGTCGGGAAGTTCGGTCTGGCATTGCTCCATAGTAGCGCGAGTATGATCGCCCACTCTCTGGCGGGCCAATCAAATTGTCAGGGCGGGCTTTATACGATGATGGACAGATGATCAACAGTAACGTAATCAACCACGTCACCAAAGCGCGCTTGGGTGACAACAACAATGGCTGCCGCCGGAGAGTTGAGGTGAGTAGATTCTGCTATTAGGTCTGTTCTAGAAGATATCGACAGCAAATAAATTTTAAAAGAGGAACAGAGAAACGCGATCAAGGCTCATCTTCTTATTCTAGGCGTGCAACTGCACGCTTTGATTTTTGTTGACAACAACTATGCGTGGCTTAACATACGTCACGCACTCCGTTGCTCTTATTGGTTGTAGGTCTATCCAATTGAGTGCAGAGGCATTTTTTTCCCCTGGTTCATTCGAAACACGCCCCATAATCACAGCTCTATGGAGCAGCATCAGACTCATTCTGACTAGAATTGAGTAGGACTACGTCAGGCTATATTTTTTGCATATTTTTTTACACCAACCATTCATTGAATTACAGGGTCTGACCAGGAGATGGCGCTTCTCTTTAGATCTTAATGTCCACAAATCATGATAGAAAGAATATTTTACTACAAAGATTGATGTTTTAAAAGGAACTGTAGGGGACCAGCCAAGGACCCATCAAGGAAAGTGGGGAAATTTTGAATGGCTACTACTGTAACACAGTTTGTCTGAGTGGTGTTGCCATATAATGAGATCATCAGCAGAAGCAGGGCCCCAAGCAAAACCTGATCCCTAAACAGCAGAGATGGCAAAAGTACTCACTTTCCATACTTGAGTAAAAGTACAGATACTTGTGTTAAAAAATACCCTGGTAAAAGTGGAAGTACTGATTAAACTCAAGTAAAAGTAACAAAGTACAGGCTTGTAAATTTACTTAAAGTATAAAAGTAAAAGTAGAAACCACTTTTTTCATGCCGTTGCCTACATTTTAAATGGATGTCTGCCAATAGGACTAGATCTCCGTTGTGTTCATTTTCAATCATCTCGTCGTCCATGCTACTATGCTAACGCCACCGCCACCAAGCTGCAATGATTTGCCGCCAATGAATACCGCCGAATCTGTCGATTCATCTTGTAGCGGTGCGTCAAATGCAACGTAGATTCCCATCCAATTAGATTGAATTTGGTATTGATGACGTGAAAAATAATAACGGTAACTCCATTGAAATGATTCAAAACTAAAGTAACGAGCCAATTTTTTAAAATGTAAGGAGTAGAAGTAAAAAGTCGCCATAAAAATAAGTAGTAAAGTAAAGAGTAAAGTAAATATATCAAAAAAATCTAGTTGAGTACAGTAGCGAACTATTTGTACTTCGTTACTTCCCATCTCTGCTACACAGTCACAGGTTTGAATCCTGGCCTGGTGTCTACTGGATTCCCCCTCTCTCTAATCCTATTTCCTGTGACAAAAATAAATGCCATTACATAAAAAAAAAAGATTGTTGAAAGAGAACTTTATTCTCTAACAAAAAAATCTTAATGTGACCAGATCAGACCAGAGAAAACATGTTGGAGTTATGGTCTTTTTTGTTTTAAAAGTCAAGGATGCTTCATTCTGCTGGATGGAAGCTGAGCTTTAAAAAGCAGAAGGAAAACAGAAGCATGAAAGAAATCAAATAGGGAAGGTAATTTAGAGAAACTGCATTTAAAAGCTTACCTATACTACAGTCGCAGCCATTCAAAATGGTCCTTCCCAGGCAAACGCCAGCCGAATGGCAGCAGACTCCCCTGCAACTCCCAGCAAAATCCCCTCCAACCACTGACCCCCTCTTGCACATTTTCTTACTCTGACTCCATCTTTTCATTGAATTACAGTTTCTGACCAGGAGATGACGCTTCACTGGAGAGCTTAATGTCCACAAATCTATATTTTAGTACAAAGATCGATGTCTAAAAAGGAATTGTAGGGGCCCAGCCAAGGGCCCATGAAAGTGGGGGAATTTTGAATGGCTACTACCGTATCTGCTTTGGTCTCCTTCTCCTGTTTCTTCTTTTTGTGCTTTAAAGCTCTGCTAACAACCTGATAAAGATGACACATCAAAATATGTGGAGACTCAATTTCTCTCCTGATTTAGTTTATCAGAGTATTGTGGGTAAAATATATAAATTTGATCCAGAATCCAGGAATGTTTCCTAGCAGATTGATCCACGAAAAGAAAAAAATACGAGCATATAAGAAGAGATGTAGGGATTTCTAGGACGACAGTTAAACATATCCTGCTTTATGCTCAGCATAGTAAACAGACAGTTACACTTTACAACATAGTTAGAGTTGAACCAGTATTATTATTGCTATCGATCTATTTCAAGCTGCAAATGGGTTTAGGTCTACGACAGGAATGCAGTGTATCTAGTAAAATTCACTGTGTGCAGAGAAGAAAGACAGTGAAGAATCAATATTAAACACTGAATTTATCATTAGAAATGTTCCATTTCTTTCAAGTAAGACAAACAAACCCTCATTTCCTCAGTTAAAAGTCCAACATAAAGTACTTGACATTCTGTTGAAAAAAGTAGAGCTTTGTTCATGCATTGTAAAAAGGCTGCTGAGTGTAAGATCCACTTCAATGCTTTCAGGCTAAAAGTGGATGGAAAGAAAAAGGAAGTACGCGGTTCCAGTGGAATGTCAGAGATCAACCATCAGAGTGCCTGGTAAAGTGGACAAAAGCTGAAGCTCTTTTATTCTGATAGTGGAGACGGTCATGCGGAAGTTGTCCCAAATAAAACCCTCCTTTGAATCCCTTCTTAGCCGGAATACTGCGAGCGGCGAGAAAAAAAGCGAGATTCAAATATAAAAAAAAAAGAAATGATGGCGAGGCGAGTGGAGCGGAGCAGAGGCAGAAAAAGCAGGGCAAGCTGACCACAGCTTGTCTGACATCAATCCAGTAGTTGGTGTGTTTATCGTCGTCCGTGGTTCACTGGACACATATCTGATTCTTCAGACTGGTGGGAAAAAACAAACAGAGTAGAAAGCTCATTAATAACAGCATGTTATACACAGCTAAATTCAAGCAGATAAATATAAAATCCTGCTTCATACAGCTCAGCACGTTTCTGTTTCTTAAAAATAAGCACAAAGCTTCAATTTAACCAATCATTATACATTATGGGTAACACAGGCTACAAATAGTGGGATGCAAAATTCATTATCCTTCAATCATCTGGATTAACTTTGCAGCTACTTAATTTCAGTCCAGCTGCTGCTGCTGTATGGTGGCTGTCATATTTTTATATAATGACACTCGAAGGTTAGCATTTTAAACCCAATATCCACTGATGATAATTAAACCCAGAAGTTTCAGACTTGATTTGAATTCCCAACATAAATAAAGCTTCTAGTTAGAGTGGCTCAGGTTATCCTGAGCTATCTCTATAGTTCTGCTGCTATAGGCTTAGACTGCTGGAGGACATAGGGACCCCTTTTTCATAATTCTGCTTCATTCTATCTCTATTCTCCCACTCTGCAGAATCTGTTAGTTCAATCTCTAACGTTCTGCTCTCTCTGCTTTTTCTCATAGTAGCTTCATCTGGTCTGTTCCTGTTTGGCTGTGACTCCATCCTGGAAAGAAATATCAGCAGTGCTGCTGCCATCAACACCTTTGTTTCTAGATGTTGGAGCTTGGCCTGTTTTCCAGTGTAGTCCTGTTTCTCTGACTGTGACTAACTGGATGTGCTCTCTTCATCCTCTGACATGGGAGCTGGCTCGGAGCTCGTCTGCCTGGCTGTGTGTTTCCTGGACGGGGCCGCCTGTGGAGCTGGTTGACAGTTGCCTTTTGTATCTATGCTTCTTTTTCTATGTCTGCTTCTGTCTCCTTGAACCCCAGTGGGCCTCAGCAGATGGCCGCTCACACTGAGCCTGGTTCTGCTGGAAGTTTCTTCCTGTTCAAAGGGAGTTTTTCCTCTCCACTGTCGCTACAAGCATGCTTAGTGTGAGGGATTGCTGAAGAGTCAATGAGTCGATGCAATCAGCTGGTTTTCCTTAGACAGAAACTTTAAATTAATCTGACTGGATGATCTGGTGAACTGGAAAGTGCGTTGAGATGACGTGTTGTGAATTGGCGCTATAGAAATAAATTGAATAGAATTGAACCTGAGCGCTGCAGTAAATCTGTGAAAAAGGAAGGATTCTGTGAAAATCTGTGCTCCATAAAGATGACAAAGGGGAATTTTAAGTTCAGAGTAGCTATTGTTTCCCAGTAATCTAGTAAATGTTAGAAGGCCACCTAAAAACTAAATTAGGTTTACTGCAGGGGTCTGCAACCGCTTAAACCACCTTCTCTCCAGTGGCTCTTAATAGTGGCTAAAAGTGATACTATCTAAAGTACTATAACAAACACCTGTCTTAGAAGCTGTAGTGGCTTTTATAAAGAATATTTGAATTGAATTTTCATAACAGAGTGACATGTAGCAAAGTGCTATTTTTCTTTAAATTAACTTAAAATTTACAATTATTTCAAAAGCTAAAAATACCGATAAACTGTATGTTGTTTTAAATGGCAACAAATTTCCTCTTGCAGATATTTAAGAAAAATATTAGGCTGTTTTTATTAAAAAGTCTTATAAAAGTGACTTTTAATTAACCAGACTTAAGGCAAGATGGCTCCTTAGATATGAAAGGTTGCAGACTCCTGGTTTATTGTCTCATTTTGGAAAGATAAATCACTAATAAAACACATTAACGATAAGAGGATAAGCTTTAAAGAAAATTTAATGCAAGGAACCAGAAAAACACCCAAAGGCTTCGTCTGAGAGTCGGCCGGTCTCAGTGAGCATATTAGCTTAAAGGTGAAACTCATTTCACACCACAGGTGAAAAGTGCTATGAGAGTGACTCAGCTTTTAAATAAGGACATTGAATACTAAGTCTTATTTTTACTAAGGTGCTTTGCTCTGAGGGAAATTACTTTTCTGATAATAGTTGTTAAGTAATTGAGTTTGAAGACTTTATTTAAATAAAAGATCTTTTTTCCCCCCCAAGCAGCTGGTAGCAAATTTTCTCCTCTACCACAAGGAGGCAGTGTTGAGGGGAGATGTTTGGCTGCTGAAGACTGTTTGTGTTGCACTTTAATATTTTTGACACATCTGCTGTTAGGGTAAGAACATAGAAATGTTTTAAAATGACTGAAAATCAATAGCAAATACCAAGAAGAGGGTGACTGTATGTATATATATATACTGTGTATATATGTTTAAGTTCTTTACACACACACATACACCCTCGTTCTGCCATCTTAGTGAGGAACATGTGTCAACTCACATTGATTTTCAGTTATTTTCAACCCTTCTATGCTCTAACCCTAAAACTAACCATACAACAATAACTTTATTTCTTTTAGAGTGTTTGTACAAAGTACCTCCTACCTGGGCTAAACAAAAGGAGATAGGCTCTTGAGTGACATGCGTCGGCCTGTGCCTTGCCGTTGACTCTCTGAACCGTACCTTTTTCGGTCAATGAACTGAATTAGGGGGATGTCATCGTGACACTAGTCCTTCACCTAACCAATTGACACCTTAGCCCTAAACCTAACCATTAGCAAAATAGCATGTGAAGACTGGCAAAAATGTCCGCACTTAGCAACAACTGGTCCTCAATCTGATGGTGAAATTGGAAAAATGAGGGATAGACAGGTACTCCCCCCCCCCCCCCCTGCCCTAACCCTAACCATTACCGACACATACCTATCCCTAAACCTAACCTAAACTCAATTCACACCTTAGTCCTAAACCTAACCCCCACCCCAAGAAGAGAAACTTTCTTTACAAGTACCTATGAGTCCCCAAAATGTAGCATATTCCTAAGAAATTGTCCCCACCAGGTATTAAAGACATGGCCACACATACACACACACACACACACACACACACACACACTCAAGCATGTTTCTCTATACCTTCAACTGACTTCCATTCATTTCTAACCCATTTCTACAGCCTAAACCTAACCATTACGGGTTAATACCTAATCCTAACCTGAACTCAGTTCACAACTTAGACCTAAAACTAACTCCCGAGCCTAAAACCTCATTCAGAACACCCGGTCCCCACCATGTGCTAAGATTTATGGAAAATCGTCCCCCCATGTAAAAAAACAAAAAAATACAAATCTTTATTTCTATATATATATAAATATACTATATATATATATATATATATATATAAATATACTATATATATATATATATATATATACATATATATATATATATATATATATATATACATATATATATATATATATATACATATATATATATATATATATATATATATATATATATATACATATATATATATATATATATATATATATATATATATACATATATATATATATACATATATATATATATATATTTATATATATATATATATACACTCACCGGCCACTTTATTAGGTACCCCATGCTAGTAACGGGTTGGACCCCCTTTTACCTTCAGAACTGCCTCAATTCTTGGTGGCATAGATTCAACAAGGTGCTGGAAGCATTCCTCAGGGAGTTTGGTCCATATTGACATGATGGCATCACACAGTTGCCGCAGATTTGTCGGCTGCACATCCATGATGCGAATCTCCCGTTCCACCACATCCCAAAGATGCTCTATTGGATTGAGATCTGGTGACTGTGGAGGCCATTTGAGTACAGTGAACTCATTGTCATGTTCAAGAAACCAGTCTGAGATGATTCCAGCTTTATGACATGGCGCATTATCCTGCTGAAAGTAGCCATCAGAAGTTGGGTACATTGTGGTCATAAAGGGATGGACATGGTCAGCAACAATACTCAGGTAGGCTGTGGTGTTGCAACGATGCTCAATTGGTACCAAGGGGCCCAAAGAGTGCCAAGAAAATATTCCCCACACCATGACACCACCACCACCAGCCTGAACCGTTGATACAAGGCAGGATGGATCCATGCTTTCATGTTGTAGACGCCAAATTCTGACCCTACCATCTGAATGTCGCAGCAGAAATCGAGACTCATCAGACCAGGCAACGTTTTTCCAATCTTCTATTGTCCAATTTCCATGAGCTTGTGCAAATTGTAGCCTCAGTTTCCTGTTCTTAGCTGAAAGGAGTGGCACCCGGTGTGGTCTTCTGCTGCTGTAGCCCATCTGCCTCAAAGTTCCACGTACTGTGCGTTCAGAGATGCTCTTCTGCCCACCTTGGTTGTAACGGGTGGTTATTTGAGTCACTGTTGCCCTTCTATCAGCTCCAACCAGTCTGGCCATTCTCCTCTGACCTCTGGCATCAACAAGGCATTTCCGCCCACAGAACTGCCGCTCACTGGATGTTTTTTCTTTTTCGGACCATTCTCTGTAAACCCTAGAGATGGTTGTGCGTGAAAATCCCAGTAGATCAGCAGTTTCTGAAATACTCAGACCAGCCCTTCTGGCACCAACAATCATGCCACGTTCAAAGTCACTCAAATCACCTTTCTTCCCCATACTGATGCTCGCTTTGAACTGCAGGAGATTGTCTTGACCATGTCTACATGCCTAGATGCACTGAGTTGCCACCATGTGATTGGCTGCTTAGAAATTAAGTGTTAACGAGCAGTTGGAACGGTGTACCTAATAAAGTGGCCGGTGAGTGTATATGCCACACAATTGAAATAATCGAAATCTAGATAAGTCTTTTTTTTTTTTTTTATTAGTGCATTTGTTCTTGGATTGGGGAGATAAAAGAGACATTTTGCCAATGGAACAAGACAATTTACACTTAAAATAAGACAAAAAACAATTGCATTGTCTTATTTCAAGTGCATTTGATCTAATTATCTTATTTTAAGAGTAAAAATACTCATTCCATTGGCAAACTATCTCGTTTACCTACTCAAATTAAGGTTAAATGCACTTAATTTAAGATTTCTTTTTTACTTATTTCTAGATTGTTTTTTCAGTGCAGAAAGACTTTTTCTGCAGGTTGGATATTTGCCATCGAAG